CGCCCTCCATCTAGTCGACCGCAGTTCACGTCCCATACCCAGTGGCTTAAAACTCATGCCAGTCGCATGTGCATGAATGCCCAAGATCCCGAGAGGAGAATGGAAGAGAAGGGATTGCGGCGTGGCCATCCCACCTGGGGGGTGATTTCTCGCTTTCTGTCTCTCTGTCTCTGTGTGTGGCGAGCGCACACGCCCTATAGCAAAAACCTCTTCAAATAATAATAATAATAAAAGAACAGCATTCTGGGCCCCATATTACATATTCTGATATAAATAGATCTGTGGGGAGAGAAAGAATTCACACTTCTTTTTTTTTTTTTTTTTTTTTTCTTTTTTGGGGGGTTTTTTTTTTTTTTTTTTTTTTTTTTGCTATAGGGCGCGTGTGCTCACCAGAAAAAAAGAGACAGACAGAAAGCGAGAAATCACCTCCCAGGGGGGATGGCCATGCTGCAATCCTTTCTCTTCCATTCTCCTCTCGGGATCTTGGGCACGCACACACATGTGCCCAGTGTGAGCTTAAGCCACTGGGTCCAGGACTCGAACCATGGTTGACCACATGGGAGTCCAGCGACATAGCCATTATGCCATCTGCTGGTTCCACTTCATTTTTATTACTGGAGTCTTTGGAAGTCTCGTTTTCTCCTTGGGCATGAACCCAGAAATAGGGCAATATACTACGGTGAGCATGGGACCGGCTTTGAGCCTGAATGAGGAAACATCAGCCACCCGCCCCACCAAGTACTTCACCCTCAGAGTGGCGGGAAGCCTGCCGGGTAGTCTGGGACGCCTGGCCATAGCCCTGTGCTGGACCTGCGGGGGTACAGGGCCAGGTTTAAAGGTGGCCGAAGTAGCCCACCTTTAAACCGCTCCTTTTGTGCTGTAGGGCAGGGCGGTGCTCACTAACGACAGACCTCTGGGTAGGTGCTTCCCCAGAGTGAGCTGGCCTGGACATGGCAGCAGCTGCCACCCTGAGGTGACAGGCTGGGATCTCGGTCAATGGATGGGGAGGGCACATTCCAAGCAGAGAATTTAGAGCCATTACGAAGGAAAAAAGTAAAGGAGGGGGCAGGCGGGAGGCAAGGAGGAAGAGAAGATTTTTAAATCAACAGAAATAAAGAAAAGGAGAGACGGGGCTTATTTATTGTTGTTTAATTTTCAACGAGAACGCAGCTCTCCCCAGCCTGACGAACGCTGACTCTTACATACACATGAGTAAGCACCATAAATGCAGGACCCTTCCGTCCCCTGGCCCACCGACCTGCCCACCAACCGCGTTTTCCATCTTCCATCGCTTGTGCTATTCTAGAACTCTGGGAGTGGAGCCGGACGGCCCCTACTTCTGTCACACAGCTTTCCGGATAGATGGCCCACATGTACAGCATTTACCAAGGGGACAAGCGCATGGTAAGTCTGTCACAGAGTTGTGCGCCACCACCACGACCGAGTGGGGACTTTGCATCACCCCGAACGAGTCTCTACCTCTTCTGTTCCCTCAGCTCTCCCAGCCCCTGGCAACCACCGATCTTGTTTCTGTCCCCGCTTGTCCACCTTTTCTTGCTCAGCATAAACAGCTGTGGCTTTGGGGGTGCGGGTGGCTTGTTCTTTTCTATTGCTGAGTCGTGTCCCCACATAGGGACAGACCTCAATTTCTCAATCTTTCCTGCTAGACAGCCTGGGCTCACGAGGGGTGCTAGGGTGTCAGCACAAACATGTTTCTGAAGGGAAAGACGGGGCGAATATGGAAGTGAGTGTGCAGCATAGCGAAGGTCTGTAACTAACAGCCACGAAAATTTGCTGACTCAAAATGCTGCGGCCTGCAGGTGGTGTAGTGGTTATGAGGTTGGACTCCCACACGGCCTATGGCGGTTTGAGTCCCAGACCTGGTAGCCTGAAACGCAAGCCAGGTGTGTGTGTGTGTGTGTGTGTGTGTGTGCGCCCAAAACCCCAAGAGCAGAATGGAGGAGATGGGACTGTGGTATGGCCATCTCCCAGGGGATGAGCTCTCACTTTCCTTCTCACCAGCTCTCTCTTTCCTTCCTAGTGAGCGAATGTGCCCTATGGCAAAAATCTTAATGAGCGAATGTGCCCTATGGCAAAAATCTTAAAAACAACAACAAAATTCAAAAGCACCACAAGCAAAGAAGGCCGCACAGGTTAGAGTGGGGCAAAGGGGATCTGGTATCCCTCCTGGTCAGGGGTTCTTTCCAGAGCACAAAAACTAGAAGAGAGATGAGCGACTAGGGCCAGGAAGTGGTGTGGAGGTGAAGGTGGCTGGATCCCACATGGCCAACAGTGGAGTTCAAGTTCCACCCCACGGCTTGAACAACACGCCAGGTACATGCATGTGCATGCCCAATGTCCTGACAAGAAAATGGAGAAGTGATTATGGTGTGGCCATCCCTCCAGAGGGGTTCTTTCTCGCGTTCTCTCTCTGCCCTGGGTGAGTGCTTTCTCAGAACAAATCAGTGAATTAAATCACACGACGGACCACTCAATATGCTGTGATTGAATGTGCACTAATAGGTACTGACGATAAGTCCCGGCAGAACCAAACACGGACTATTCTATTGACACTAAAACCAAGTCACGGGACCAGCAGATGGCGTAGTGGTTACGTCACTGGACTCCCACATGGCCAAACGTGCTTCGAGTCCTGGACACAGTGGCTTGAAACTCATAACAGGCACGTATGCGTGTGTGCCCAAGATCCTAGGAGGGCCACGAAGGAGAAGGGACTGAAGCGTGGCCATCCCCCCTGGGGGATGATTTCTCACTTTCCATCTCTCCGTCTCTCTTTTTCTCTCGGGCAAATGCACACACCCTAAGGCAAAAACTTCTACAAAAACGAAACAAAACCAAGTCAAAACAAGAATATGGAATAGCATGAGAAGATGTTATTATTCAATAATCCTACATGGAAAGATAGCCCTTGGTAGTATGCTGGTATTGCCCGTGTATTTTGGAAATAAAACCAGGTGAGGAGTATATGGAACAGAAAGAACATGGTTATCAAACACCTTACCCTTCGGCTTTTGTTTCTCTATCTTCTAAATCTTCCAAAATGAACATTTATTACTTTTTTTTTTTTTGAGAGGTTTTTTCCATAGGGCATGTGCACTCACCAGACAGAGAGAGAGACAGAGAGACAGAAAGCGAGAAATCACCCTCCGGGAGTATGGTACGCCGCAATCCCTTCTCCTCCATTCTCCTCTCGGGATCTTGGGCACGCACTCACATGCGCCTGGCGTGAGTTTTAAGCCACCGGGTCTGGGACACAAACCGCGGTCGACTACATGAGAGTCCAGCG